CCCCTTGAATGACTCCCGAGCTGTGGTTTTCGTCCCTCCCCTTCCCCGCAGCCTCCGCACAAAGAGCGCCCCCATCACTTCCAGCCCCTAGACAAGTTTTCTGGTTTGGGGCTTTTTTTTTTTTTTTTTTTTTTAAATTAAAAAAACCCCGAGTCCCACCCAATGCAGGCTTCACTTCGCCAGCCCGCTTCAGGTGACTGAGTTCCTCTCCTCCAATTTGAGGGCCACTTGCTTCTTTTTCTTTAAATGCAAGTGGTAGATACAGGGTCCCTTTCTCAGCTACCCCTGCTCACATCCGGAAGCTCAGTTGCTGATGCTTTTCAGACTTTCATTTTCCCTCCCACTGGATCACCGAGAGGGAGCTGCCGAAGTTGTTTACAAACGAGGAAGCCGTCCACGAAGGGAAAACATCGGGCACCGCATGCCTGCAAAAGATGAGGGCTAAACCGGTCCCCTTCACTCGTGATCCCTTTACTCCTCGGCCCATGCCGAGTCGCTGTGTTAGGCTTTGCCATTTCCATCTAAATAGTTGACGGTGTCGGCGCGGTTTTTGTTTTTAGATCCCCGCGGTGTGAGAGGGGACTTAAGTTTGCTTTTCACGACTTTGAAGTGCCCCAGGGGTGTTTACGTCTTAATTTTAACAGAGCTGTTACCATTCCGTGCTGGTTTTTTGGCTGAAAGTTATTGTGGTTTGTTTTCACATCGTTATCTTGTAGCTACTCAAAGACTGGAGATGGGAATTAAGAGGAGGACAAACACAGCGCGCTTGCATTTCTTTTTGTAGGTTGGACAGTTTGTTTTTTTAAAAAGGACTGAGTCTAGAAACTTGGAAGGGTTGATTCTTGTTGATGTCAGAATTATTGCAAAACTGCATCTGAAGTTCTTAGTTAAGTGCATTTTCCAGTAGATTCCTATAAAAGTTTGGTTTATTGTACAAAGGTAAGCTTGAGGGCATTGCTATAAAATTTGATATTTCCTCCAGAAAAGTTGAGATTTCAACAGTGTACACCAGTGTGCACTGTTGCAAATTGGGGATCCTTTGGAAATGCATACCAGAATTTCATGTCGTTGAAAGTGTTGCTATGCAGTATTTTAATTACCGTTAGCCTTTTATATGCAAGTCTCACAGTGTACCACTTTTGCCAAATGAATGAAATTTATTATTTATTAATTTACATGAGCTTTTAAAATGAAGATGATTTGAGGTATATCGAAAATACTTTACATTGCCTAGACTTGAAACGTGAAAAGCGTGCTTTGATTTTGACTGAGAAAAATGACAGAAGCATATTCTTTTGAATTCAATGATGTTAGAATTATAAAATATTTGGCATTCATATTTGTATTTTATAGAAAGTTGACATAAAATATGCTTATTTTGGCACCAGAACTGAAAACATTTTCATGTGTATTAAAATATAACATTTAGAATCTTTTAATTAATAAGACCAATTTTGGCAATAACAAGGAAGTAAGTCAAAGAAATAAAAAAAATTTAAATATGATAACTTAAAATAGAAGCCAAAGTCTGAGAGCACCTAAAATTGTACTTTAAAATGACCTAAAATATATCCCCCTCCAGAAAAAAAATAGTTTATATCAAGTGTTACCTTATAGGCTGTCATGTGTATCCAGGGCATTTTTCATGATTTATTTGACTCTCAGTTCTTACAAAGTTATTGCATTTAAACTTTATCATGTTTGTTAAAATATTTGAGAATATTATTTATATCAGCAATTAAAATAGTCATATGTTTGCTTCACCAAGTATATCCATCTATTCGTTTTATTATTTCATTAGGTTTTGAAACTAGTATATAGTAACCAAATATTTATCTAACTTTTGATGATCAGTTTTTTTAGAACTTATAAATTGTTCGAGTTTAGTTAGATTGAACAATTATTTAATATGAAGTGCTTAATTCTCCTTTGACATACAGATTTTAAGCGTTTCAAAATGATGTTTTGTAGCCATTTTTAAAATGTATCTAATAGTTAAGAACTTTGCTAAGGCAAGTTACATATTTCACTCTGAAAGTTTTATATTACAACCTAATTTTAATGAAATTGATACTTTTTTAGAGACATACCCAACTTTTTCATGATTTTTCCAAATTTTATTGCAGAATTTAAAGTACTACTTGAGCTGGAATTTGCTTTTTATTAATAACCTTTGGTTGTGGGAATAAATTAAGAAAATCTGAAACTACAGTATTCTGTCTTGTTAATTACTGTAATAGTTCTGTAGAATAATGTTTCCAAATCTTGCTAGTAATTTAGGAGACTTATTTGACAAGGAAGCATTAATGAAGTACATGCAAACTTTGATGGCTAAAGGTTTCAAAGTATAAGAAAAAATATTTACTGTAGCAAAAATAAAAATTGTTTAAAAATGTAAACTTAATTAGCGCTTTCTAATTTTTATTTCATAACTAATTTGTTGTAGTCTCTCTTTTTTTTTTTTAATGTAGCAGGAAACCCAGTGAGATACTTTTGTGAAGCCAAGAAACTAAAGTTCATTTCTAAGGAAACTAAATTAGATTAATGAAAACTATAAAGAATTTCAAAATGAAAGTGTTGGCTACATAGTAATTTTGGAAAATGCAGAGCCAAATATTGAGCAGTGTACTAATAAAGTTACTTTATTGATTATTGGAGATTTGCCTCTTTCATCAAAATGCCCAATAAAATGTTGGGCTGGGAATCTTAAATTCCATTCTCAGCAGAATTTATTTAGGTGGAGGTAACTTGCTCAAGTGGAGAGTTGAGGCAGTTAGCCTTAAGTTATAGGTGTTAATTCCAACAGTTATGGACCATCTACCAAAACTATATCAGGGGATATAAAGATGATGAGATACGTCATTGCTTTCTAGAAGAGAGCACAGAAAGCATTTGTACTAGAAGAGGATTATCATTTTTAAATTATTTACTATATATGAGACATTGCATTTAGTTTGCATACACCTTATCTGCTCTTCAACAGCAGTTCAGTAAGGTGGATGTTGTTATTTCCATGTCATGGATCAGGAAATGGAGTTCAAGAGTTTCAAGTAAGTTACCCATAGTCAGTTACACTATGAGTCTGAGTTTGAACTCAGGTCTGTGCTTCCTATTATACCATTCTTTAAACTGCCACAGTTTTGTGGAACTACAAATGTTTTGCATTCCAATGTTATAGTTGTATGAACTTTCTAAGAATTGGCCAAATATGTAATTAGCCAAATATGTAAGAGTCAACTTTAATATAAACTTGGCACTACTTGTTAGATCCCTCTATAACAAGGAAAAATGATTTCCATATTCCGTTTGGTAGTCTGTAATTTAGCAGTGTTTTATTATTGGGAATAGAGTGTGTGATATTCCACAAAGAATAATAGCACAGATAACCTTTTGGCGGACTTTCTTCATTTAAGACTTAAATGAAGAATTTGATGAAAGGTGTCAGATGTTTGCTCGAAACTTCCCAAAAGATTGAACATTTCTCTGAGGACTGTCCTTACTTTGCTTTAAAATTTGAAACTCATGGTAACCTAGCTCAGTACATTGATAAGAAGGCTCCATTTGTTACCTGGGATGATGAATGTCTTGACTATTTTAAGGGAAGCTTATTATA